GGCCAGCTGTCCCTGTCCCCGATCAGGGTGGAGGGCGGCCAATTGGGGGCCAGGCCGACCAGGGGGAGGGGCCGCGGGAAGTTGGGGGGGGCTGATAGGGGTCCACATCAGGCCAGTTGTCGGCTGCAGTGCGTGTCATAGTGAATGGACGTTCCAGTCGTTCTGTCATTCTGGTCGTTGGGCTTTTATATAGATAGATTATTGACTATATTTCCTATGCTGTACTTTACAGCCCCATGACTATTCTATACCTGCTAATTTGTACTTCTTTTTTTTTTAATTCTTATTGTTAAAAAGTATTACATATGTCCATTTTATCCCCCATTGTCCTCTGCCAGCCTGCCCCTACTCCCCAGCCCAGGCTTTCACCACCCCCCTATTGTCTGTATCCATTGGCTATGGTTATGTGCATACAAGTTCTTTGGTTGAGCTCTCCTCCCCTCCCCTGCCCTCTGCCCATTAACTGTCTCTCTTTTTCTAAAAAATAAGATAGGTTTTTGTTCTAAACTAGCAGTCACCAACTGGTAGTCCGGGGACCACTGGTGGTCCGTGAGGTCCGAAAGGTTGGCGACTGCTGATTTAATGAAACCTTTGGAGCAGCAGTCGCCAACCGGTGGTCCATGGACCACTGGTGGTCTGTGAGGTCCAAAAGGCTGGCGACCGCTGTTCTAAACTATTTTTCTGTCACTGTGAAGCATTGCCATAGAAAAATTTGAGAAGGTATAGCTTTTAATGAAGCTTACCATGAGTTATAGTAACCCAGGACTCATATATTTGAATAATTCCTTTTGTGGAGTTGGTGAGGCAATTATTGACTGAATATGGGATATATAATGAAGACATACTATTTTTTACCCGTCTGATTGCTACATATTTGGAAGTGTAGTAATATCAAATGTTGACAAGGGTGCAGGAAAACAAGTACTCGTATATGTAGCTGGAAAGAGTGTAAATTGGAACAGCCACTTTGGAAGACAATTTGGCAGTGGCTATTAAAATTGAAAATGTGTACCCTCCATGATCCTGTAATTCCACTTGTCTCTACCCTAGAAAAACCTTGCACATGTGCACAAGGCATGTATAAGAATATTTAATTTAAAAAAAACAGAATGAGATAGATCTATATATGCACTGATATAAATAAATCTCCAAGACCAGGTTTTAAAAAAGGCAAGTTACAGAATAATATATACATAAAGTGTAATTCTATTTATCTTTAATACATTGTAATAGGTACACACAGATACATATATGCACATTTGTGTTTATATGCTTTATAATCTATTGACATACTAGTATAGTATATTAGAAATGTTTTACAGTATATTTATTAATTATATATATAGTCTATGCACTTACATATATGTGTAAATAATTAGAATATGTAAACATCTAGAAAAATATCTGGAAGGTCTGGATTAAGCCCATAACAGTGGTTACTTTTGGAGAGGGGACTGGAATTTTGGCAGGGGTGGGGCAGTCATGGGGACTTGCCCTTTATATGTATTATCTGGACTTTTTTTTACAAGAATGTTTTCATGTGTTAGTTCTATAAATATACACGGACATATACACATACATTATTGCCAGTTTAATTATGCAGGGTAACTATAAAGCAATGAGATGGATTTTTGTTGGTTATACAGAAGTGGCTCAGTATATTTTGTGGAAAACAGCCCTTGCCAATTTATAAAGATTGTGTGATTTCACTACTGGTCCAAGGCCTACTTATAATCTTCTTGGCTGTCAACCACTCAGTCACCCATTTTCCTTTCATCTTTTTTGGTTATGATAACAGGAAGGAATCTGTTCATTGGGTTTTCCCAATCTTGAAAATTACCAAACTTCACTTTCTAGAATTGGTTTCCTAAATGCATGCAGAACTACAGTTGCTACTGAATACATATGTTTGAAAGTTCTGAATATAAGGATGTTTGTACAGCTCTTTACAGTTTACAAAATGCCTACTTTTTTGTCTTATTTATCTTCCCCAACAACCATGTGAGGTAAATGGTGTTGTTACCTGTTTATATAGATAGGGAAATGCTTGATGGTCCCCACGACCACCTCCAGGTTCGACGATTCTCCAAGGACTCAGGACTCCACATATAGTCATACTCACAGCTAAGATTTATTACAGTGAAAGGACAGAAAACAAAATCAGCAAAGGGAAAAGGCACATGGGGCAAAATCTCAAAGAAACCAGGTACAAGCTTCCAATAGTCTTCTCCCAGTAGAATCACCCAGTATGTGCCTACTTTTTCCAGCAATGGGTTGTGACAACATGTGTGAAATGTTGTCTATCAGGGAGGTTCCCCTGAGCCTAGAAATCTAAGGATTTTACCAGGGGTCATTTATGTAGGTATTCTCTGCCTAGCACATATCAAAATTCTAAACTCCCAAAAGGAAAGCATGTGTTTAGGATAAATTATATTTTTTGAACAGTTTAGGCATAGTGAGCCATTCTTATTACTTAGAGAATGGTGGAAATTCTACCCAAATCCAAGTTTCCAGACATGAGCTATGGGCTAGTCTTACAAGCAGGCCTTTTTAAAGTTAGTAGTCTGCCCGTGTGGTTCAGTGGTTGAGCATCAACCTATGAACCAGGAGGTCATGGTTCCATTCCTGGTCAGGGCATATGCCCTGGTTGTGGGTTCGATCCCCAGTGTGGGGTGCAGGAGGCAGCTGATTAATGATTCTCTCTCATCACTGATGTTTCTATCTCTCTCTCTCCCTCTCCTTTCCTCTCTGATATCAATAAAAATATATTTAAAAAATGAAGATAGTAGCCTCATGCCTGCTATATTAATTCTATTCTGCACAAAAACTAAGTGAAAAGAAATGAAGTTACTTTCCTTAAGACATTTAGATAGTAAGTGCTGGAATCAAGTCTCAATCCCAGCCCTTTGGTCCAAGTCCATACTTTTCCCACTACATGACATTAATCTCCATCAAATCAAGTACAAATGTTTTTAGTATGCAATTGAAGTGGTGAAATTGAGTGCATAGTTTCTTAAACGTGGAATGTTAAAGTGATTTTCTTCCTTTGCCTTTAATCCCTTCTTTCTCTCTGACCTATAACATTTGTAGGATAACATAAAAAATCTAGAATTGGAAGTCATCAATCTGCAAAAGGAAAAGGAAGAATTGGTTCTTGAACTTCAGACAACAAAAAAGGATATCAACCAAGCCAAGTAAGAATAAAGTCAATAAATATTATATCAAAGTTACTACTGTGTATGAGGAGTTGTGGAGGAAGTAGAGAAGTAAAAGAGCCATATCCTGCACCCACAAATTTTAAACTTAGTTGTGGAGGGGAGACCTAAGCAAAAGAAAAGTTATTTAATTGAGATTTTTAATAACATCTCATAATGACAATAAAAGAATGCTGTAACACAGCACATGATTAGTAGCCACATAAATTTCTTAGGCAGTAATTGCTTTAAGAGTTCAGAGGCAGGAGATATCAATTTAGGCTGGTATGATCAAGGAAGGCTTTACAAGAAGTTAGCATTTGAGCTGGATTTTGAAAAATTATCAGACCTACCAGACGGCAACAATTTATCCCTGCGCTGATGGTAAATTAGTTTGTGAATAGAATTAATGTCCAGGCTAGTAAATGAAAAATCAATCTAGCCATTTCTTAGTTAAGAATAAAATCAAGATAGATAACCAGAATACCCTACTCTCCCTCAAACTTCTGCCTTATTAGCTATTCTGTCTTCTTTTTACTCAGTGACTGTTATATCTTTCTATTGAGTCTAAAGGTAATGTTTTTAAAAGTTATGCTGAATGTTTACTTTCTATCTTATACTTATGTAATAAACATCAGAATTATTTCTTACAGCTAAAGTGAAGTGAAATGACTTCAAAGAACCATCCTTTTAACACATAGTGGTACAGGGGTTGTCATGTATTGAGGCAATTGCATTGTTATATACTCAAAATAATTGTTCTTTGACTCTGTATTAAGGCCCCATTATTGAGACAGTTTTGATTGTTTGGGTGGTATTCATATTTAAAGAAGGCTATTTGAAGGCCTCCTATTTTATATATATATATATCAGGGTTGTGAGCCTGGGAATCTAACATTATGTCTTTTGAAGTCAGGCTTTGCTGTTTCTAGTCTTCATTTCTACAGCATCTGTGTTTAGGTTGAGTGAGCGCCGCCGCAAACGTCTTCAGGAGCTAGAGGGTCAAATAACTGATCTAAAGAAGAAACTGAATGAACAGTCCAAACTTCTGAAGCTGAAAGAATCCACAGAACATACCATCTCCAAACTGAACCAGGAGATACGGGTATTAAACTCTATCCATGCATTTTAACCTACTGAAACTTACAAGCATAAGTGTTCTATATGGAATTATACTATAGAGGTGTTTTCATGTGAGAGAGTACAGGGCAGGATCATCATTTCAAGTGTGTGAATCTCCACAAAAGTCTCTTTTGCAGAACATTGTTCTAGTAGACATCTAGAATCTGAATAACAAAACCCTTCTTTGACATTCAGAGTTTAATGTTAAATTCTCTGAAACCAAAGGGCAAAGATACCTTAATATTTAGTGGTAATATCCTGACCACCTTCCATGATCATGTAGAATAATTTTGTAAAGTAGTTGCAAAATGACAGGCACCTAGAGAAAATTTTCAGCTATTGAATGTTCAACTTATCTGCAAAGTAGTTGCTTCAGGCTACTAGTACTAAAACCTTTAGATACAATGGTTGCTAGGTGGATTTGTTCTTGAGGATTAGTAGATATTTCCTTGAAACTTCATTTATATAGCATGAATTTAGGACTGGATTTAGCTTGTAGGTACATTTTTGCTTTTATTGCTTCAGAGTGTTTATTTGTGTAGTCTATACTCAGAAAACCTGTGCAAGCATAGCAAGGGGTATGATAAGCTTAATCATAAAATCTATTGGCGAGAAAATCTTAGTTTTCTCTCTTAATGCTTCGTTTGTCCATATGCACATCAACCTAGAGTAAATACAGATGACTAATACTTGTACTGGTTTTTGTTTTTACAGGTGATGAAAAACCAACGGGTACAGTTAATGCGTCAGATGAAAGAGGATGCTGAGAAGTTTAGACAATGGAAGCAACAAAAAGACAAAGAAGTAATCCAATTAAAAGAACGGGTAAGTGCCAGAGGGAAGGGGTACAGAAGCTGGGTGGATGTGGGTAAAGGGATGGGGGAATGTAGACATCTGTAATAATGTCAACAATAAATTTAAAGTAAAAAAAAAAAAAGAATAGGTAAGTATACTCCTCAAAGGTAATAAACCCTTCTCTAGGCTGACTAACATTAAATAATTTTTTTTTCAAATAACTGGTGTCTCCAAAAATGTGACACATTCATGAATTTAGCAGCTATTTATTAAATGTCTACTGTGTGCAAGGTACTATCCACTGGATACCTTGGAAAATATAATGATGAGTGGTATATGAACTCTTTCCTTGAAGAATGCCTGGTATAAGGGAACATGAGACATAAACATGTTTTTCGCCAATATAAAGAATAAAGAGATCTGTGCTTTACAAATGGTCTAAAACAGCGGTCACCAACCTTTCGGACCTTGCGGACCACCGGTTGGTGACCGCTGGTCTAAAACACCAAAGTAATTAAGAAAGGGAAGCACACTTCTAGTTGGAGTGAAAAGACAATAGGTGAACAGGCCTTGAATAATAGGGAGGATTTTGTTAGAGATAAATGCAGGCATCCCAGATAGATGGGACAGCAGGAAATGACAACTTTGTGGGCATATTCAAGGCATGGCTAATGGTCCAGGTGGAATAGTAGTAGAAAATTCTATTGGAAAGACAAGTTGAAGCTGAATTGTTAAAGATCCAAGAAGTTTGAACTTTATTTTGTTAGCAGAGTAAAGATTTTTAAGGTTTTTGAGAAACAATGTGATGTTAGCAAAATACTGCTTTAGAAAGATACATCTGGGAGTAATGTGTAGAACAAACTGAAATATTGAGAAATCGGAAGCCAGAACACAAGTTAAGACATTATATTATCCCGAAAGATAGTAAGGGCCTGAATTAGAGTAGTAGCAGCATTCTTGGAAAGCACCCTGGAAAAGACATTGATTTGGAGAAATTTTTAGAATTGGCCAGAATGTGATATGTTGGGTCAAGAAATAAGATGAGAAATACTTTCAGAATGGTAGATAGCATGAGGAGTTTTGTGGACTCAGTAAAACAAACACAGTTGATAAAGTTTATAAAAACAACTATTTAAAAGGTCTGGAAATTGTCCTAAGGGCATATACCAAATAAACAATTATTCAAGGAACTCCACTAAATCTCAGTAAGAACAGCAAGAGTCTGTGGCATTTGAGCCATGACCAACTCCCTCCCCTGACCCTCCAGTTTCCATTCTATGGCTATTGTTTCTTCTGTTTCATCCCCTTCAGCTCCATGTTACTACACTTCTGTTTCACGCAAGAGCAGCCGAGAGGTCTGTGTATCCCTTCTTCCACCTAGTCCCCATGCATAGGGTGGAAACTCTGCCCCTGATGCAGAAAGCCAATAATACTCGGGCCTGATTGTCCCAACCCATCTAACCATAGGATGTTAGTTCCATGTCAGGAGAGGCAAGCCAAGAAAAATAGGGTCTAGTGCCCCAGCCCAGCATCCTACTCAGAACAAAAATGTTTCTCTAATAAGTAGGATGCTGTCCCTGCCCCCAGATCCTGAGCGATGGTACAGAGGTTCTGCCCAGGGAGAGAGGCTGGCCATCGGAACAGTCATAGGAATGTTGCCTTCCATTAGGGTACTGACTTTATTTAGGGAAGTTAAAATCTGAAGGTGCTATCAACCAAGAATCTTATAGACAGCGAAGTTTTCTTTCAAAAATGAAGGCAAAATAATGGCATTCCCAGATAAACAGAAGCCAGATACATTTGTTTTTAGCAGATCTACGTTACAAGAAATACTTAAAAGAACTTCAGACTGAAGCAAGTGATACTAACAGTAATTTGAATCTGTACACGCACACAAAAACAAAGAGTGCCAATAAAGGTATTATATAAGTAATTCTAAAAGTATAATTACATATTACTTTTCCTTTCTTAACTGATTTGAAAAAGCAGTTGTATAAAATAATTTGTATGTAATTATATCGATGGGCCTATAGAGATGTAATATGTTTTACAATCTATAATAATAAAAGCATAATATGCTAATTAGACCGGATGTCCTTCTGGACGAAGCCAGGGCTGCAAGGGAAGCCCGGGTCCTGGGTGCCTGCTGGCGTCCAGAGGTTAGCCTGGGTTCCGGGTGCCAGAGGGAAGCTGGTGCTGGCAGCTGGGGGAAGGAAGGCCTACTCTTGCACGAATTTCGTGCATCGGGCCTCTAACAACATAAAGGAGCAAAGTTTTGAGTAAGGAAATGACATCAGATAGTAACATGAATCTACAGGAAGAAATGAGGAGAAACAAATGCTAAATAACAAATTCTATAAACGTGTATTTGCTTTCCTTTTAGCTCAGCTGTTTAAAGAACATAAATTATATAAAGTAACAATTATAATAATGTATTTTGGGTTATATATTGGCTTAAAATGCATAACAATAATAACAAAGAAAGGAAGAGAGAACAGAGCAATATAAGAATAACATTTCTATATCTCACTGGAATTAAGTTAATAGAAATCTGAAGTAGATTCTGATAAGATATTTATTATAAGCACTAGAACAATCATTAAGAATGTAACTCAAGCCCTAGCTGGTTTGGCTCAATGGATAGAGCATCAGCCTGCTGACTGAAGGGTCCCAGGTTCTATTCCGGTCAAGGGCACATGCCCGGATTGCAGGCTCGATCCCCAGTAGGGGGCGTGCAGGAGGCAGCCAATCAATGATTCTCTCTCATTGATGTTTCTATCTCTCCTTCTCCCTTCCTCTCTAAAATTAAAAAAAAAGAATGTAACTCAAAAATATAGTGAAATAATCATTAAACTAATTATTATGCTATACTACAAAATATTTATATTCCCTTAATGCAGTGGTTCTCAACCTTCCTAATGCCGCGACCCTTTAATACAGTTCCTCATGTTGTGGTGACCCCCAACCATAAAATTATTTTCATTGCTACTTCATAACTGTAATTTTGCTACTGTTATGAATTGTAATGTAAATATCTGATATTCAGGATGTATTTTCATTGTTACAAATTGAACATAATTAAAGCATAGTGATTAATCACAAAAACAATATGTAATTATATATGTGTTTTCCGATGGTCTTAACACCTGTGAAAGGGCCGTTCGATCCCCAAAGGGGTCACAACCCACAGGTTGAGAACCGCTGCCTTAATGTCAAAGAAAGCAGTAAAGGCAGAATAAAGGAACAAAAAAGATAAAAGATAGAGGAAGGAGGGTCAAGATGGCAGTGTAGGTAAATGCAGTACTCACCTCCTCCCACAACCACATCACAATTACAGCTAAAATAAAGAACAACCATCATTGATAACTGCCTGAAATCTGGCTGAATGGAAGCCCTATAACTAGAGAATTAAAGAAGAAGCCACATTGAGACTGGTAGGAGGGGTGGAGGCACAGAACGGGCTGGTCCTGACACCCATGTTTGGCATGTTTTTAATTGGGAGGGATATCTTGGTAACAGAGGTCCCCCATGAGGAGCAAGAGGTTCTAGCCCAACACCAGACCCTTCAGCCTAGGGTTCCAGTGCAGGGAAGAGAAGTCCCCATAACTTCGGGCTGTAAAAACCAGTGGGAATTGAGGTTGAGGGAGACAGAGGGATGCTAAGATTCCCAGGCAGGTCCTCTTAAAGGGTCCATGCACAGACTTACTAGGACTTACTGTCTCTGAGCTCCAGTGGTAGGGCAGCAGCTTGAAAGGATGAGGAACATACAGAGAGGAACTAAATTTTCTGGTATCTGGGCAGTAACTGGGGGGCAGCTTTCTCCCAGAAGAAATGCTGGCAGAGGTCATTGTTCTGTTGCTGAGATCTCCCCACCACAGAGATGACTGGCATGTGCCAGATCTGAGTCTCCATCAACTTGGCCCACACAGTTTGCCCAACCCTGGTGATTCCCTGAGACCCACCCCAGTTGCCAGCCCATTTCCACGAGTGCCTGAGTACCTCCGCACTTCCCCACCTCTGCACGTCCTCCCAGTCTCAATGCACTTTTCTCTTAACTTCTAGTTGTCAAACTTCCACTCAGCCAGCCCTCCCATGGTTCTGGATGATATCCATTTTGTCTTTTAGTTGTAGTTTTGATGTGGTTGTGCGAGGCAGCAAGTTCAGGTGTTTACTTATGCCACCATCTTGGTTCCCTGTCAACAATAAAGATTTTTAAAAAAATAAATGTAAAAGAGGAAATTACAAAAAAAGATAAAAGAAAACAAAATGTAAACTCAAAAACATAAATCTAGTCATATCAATAATAGCATAATTTGAATAGATTAAACAATCTATTCAAAAGGCAGAGATTGTTAGACTGAATTATAAAAGCGAGATCTATAACAATATATGCTATATACAGAAGACACATAATGAATTCAAAGATATTCATTATGTGAGGCCAGTATTTTCTCTGATACCAAAACCATACAAAGACATTCTAAGAAAAGAAAACCACAGACCAACATCTCATGAATATAGATAAATCCAGCAACATATAAAAAGAATGATACACCATGACCAAGTAAGGTCCAAAAAAATGCAAGGCTTCTTTAACATCTGAAAACCAATTAATGTAATACACCGTATTATTAGAATTAAGGATCATGTTAATAGACACAAAATAAACATTTGATAAAATCCTTTCATGATTAATACACTCAAAAAAACAAGGAGTAGAAAGGAACTTCCTCAACCTAATAAAAGGGCATTTATGAAAACCCTGCAACTAGCATCATACTTAATGGTAAAAGACAGAATACTTTTCACCCTAAGATCAGGAACAAGGCAATGGTATCTGCTCTTGCCATTTTTATTCAATATTGTCTGGGAGATTCTAGCCAGGGCACTTAGGCAAGAAAAATATATAAAAGCATCCAGATTGGAAAGGAAGAAGCAAAACTACCTCTATAAGAGATGACAAAAAAGTCCTAGAAAATCTAAAAAACTATTAGAACTAATGCACGAGTTTAGCAAAGTTGCAGTGTATAAATTCAATGTGTGAAAATCAGATGTTTTTTATACATTAGCAACTAACCATTTAAAAATGAAATTAAGAAAACAATTCCATTTATAAAAGCATCAATAAGAATAAAATACATGGGAATAAACTTAACAAAACAGTTGTAAGACCTAGACACTAACAACTACAAAACATCATTGAATTAATTAAAGATCTAAATGGAAAGATGACCCATGTTCATGGATGGCAAAACTTCATATTCTTAAGATGGAATACTCCCCAGATTGATGCACAACGTCACAATCCCAATCTAAATTCCACCTGACTTATTGGCAGAAACTCACATTCTAATCCTAAAATTCATATGTAAATACAAGTTACCCAGAATAGTCATAATAATTTTGAAAGAGAAGAATAAATTTGGAGATGTCACATCTATCACCCTTTTGTTAGTGTGTTGAGAATACTTTATACTCGCTTAGCAAATTTTAAGTAATGCAATACAGTATTATTAAGTATAATCACTATGCTATACATAGATCCCCAGAACTTGTTTATCTTATAACTGAAATTTGTACCCTTTGACTATCCTTTTTCCTATCCCCCAGTCCCTGGTACCACTGTTCTACTCTCTGGTTCTATGAGCTCGACCTTTAGATTCCACATATAAAACATCATACAGTATTTGTCTTTATTAGCCTAGTTTAAGTTGATCTGTGTTGTTGCAAATGGCAGGGTTTCCTTCTTATTTATGGCTGAATAATATTCCATTGTGTACTAGTATATGTACCACATTTTTGTTATCCATTCATCTTTTCATCTTTTTTATATCTTGGTTATTGTGAATAATGCTGCAGTGAATATGAGAATGCAGATATCCCTTCATGATACTGGTTTTATTTCCTTTTAATATATAACCAATAGTGGGATCGCTAGATTTTACAGTAGTTCTATTTTAAAAAAATTGTTTGTTAATCCTCACCAGAGGATATTTTTTATTAAGTTTTAGAGAGAGAAGAAAGGAGGGAGGGAGGGAAAGAGGGAGAGAGAGAGAGAGAGAGATGTGAGAGAGACATTGATTGGTTGCCTCCCACACACGCCCTGACCAGGGCCAGGGATTGAACCTGCAACCCAGGTACTTGCCCTTGACCAGGAACCAATCCTGCGATGCTTCAGTGCGTGGGCCAGTGCTCTAACTACTAAACATACTAGCCGGGGCCTATTTTTAATTTTTTGAGGAACCTCTTTTTTTCCATAATGACTATACCGTTGAAATACTTTTTATTTACATTATAAGATTTTATTTTATCTAGCTGTCTGGCTTATTTCTTCTCAGGACCGAAAGAGGCAATATGAGCTGCTCAAACTCGAAAGAAACTTCCAGAAACAGTCTAATGTGCTTAGACGTAAAACTGAAGAGGTAAGAAATTCTAATCTGCTAGGTCAAGTGTATTGCTTAGATGCAGGCAAAGTGGTATCCCTTAAATGAGCCAGTGTCCTGAGAAACTAGGGATGCCAGTCAGTATTCAACAACCAAGGATACTCAACCAAGGATATGTTTTTATTGATTTTAGAGAGAGAGGATGTGAGAGAGAGAGAGAGAGAGAAACACCAATGTGAGAGAGAAACATCCATCGGTTGCCTCCCGTACACACCCCAACTGGGGATCAAACCTGCAACCCAGGCATGGGCCCTGATCGGGAATCAAACTCGCAACCCTTTGGTGTATGGGACAATATTCCAACCAACTGAGCCACTCGGCCAGGGCAGGGGATATCATCCTGACCAGCAATTCCGAAGTCTTGATCCCTGTTTATATGTCATGAACTATGGGCAGATAACCTGATGAAGTGGTGCTATTCAAATAAGGATTTTTTTTTCTAATTGGGCTTGCTTCTTTCTAAAAAGTCACAGAATCTACACTAATAAAAGAGAAACATGCAAATTGGTGTCACTCCGCTACGCCCACCAGCCAATCAGGATGAGTATGCAAATTGACCCAACAAAGATGGCGGTTGATTTGCATATGCAAGCGCGGAGCAAAGACTGAAGACTACTGAAGAGGCTTGGCTTCTCCGCTGTGACTGGAGCGAAGGCCTGGGTCCCGGGTGCCGAGGAAAACTGGTGCCGGCAGCCAGGGGAAGGAAGGCCTATTGCACGAATCTCTTCATGCAACGGGCCTCTAGTAATATTATATGTGACATTTCTATACACTTTGAAGCCTCCAGTACTTCCTTGAAATATGTACCTCTCTCCTGGGCTCTAAAGCAATAACTGTTGACAAGTATTAGCTTTAGAACCTAGGGGAAGTGCACATTTGACATGGAGACCTATAAACTTGGTTCCTATAGAAACTCAAACCATAGAATTTTTTATTTTTCTTTACTAATATGCTGAAAGTTATAATGTTCTTCTTTTTACCTTTAAATTCAACATTACTGTGAGCTGTTTTTATTTAGGCAGCAGCTGCCAACAAGAGGCTCAAGGATGCTCTCCAAAAACAACGGGAGGTCGCAGATAAGCGGAAAGAGACTCAGAGCCGTGAAATGGAAGGCACTGCAACTCGAGTGAAGGTATGGACAGCTTGAATGGCCTTTTCTTTTTTGTATATTGGGAAAAGGAGAACATGGGAAATAGTTTTCTTTTCATTTAGAAGTAAACTGCAAAATCTGAATGAAGGTCTGCAGAGTCAGTTTAGGCCCAATCCCCCAGGCTGACTCTCCTGAAAGCCTTATTTCCTAAAGATATGAATATATGAATGGTTGTTAAAGACCAAAAGTAGAGAACTTTTTCTATCCCTACCCCTTTTGAGGTTCAGTTAATTTTTTGGCTGTTCTATTGCGGTATAATTGACCTATAAGAAATTGTACATATTTAAAGTGTACAATTTAATAAGTTTAGACACAGACATGTACCCATGAAATCACAATCAAGATAACATCAACATCCATCATGACTAAAACTTCGTGCCCCTTTGCAATCCCTCCCTACCCCGCCCCCATTTCAAGGTAACCATTAATCTGTTTTCTGTAATTATATACTTATTTTTATTTTCTAGAATTTTCTAAAAATTGAATACATTTTTTCTGGCTTTCATTCAACATAATTAGTTTGAGATTCATCTATGTAGTTGTGTGTATCAATACTTCTTTTTCATTGCCAAGTGGCATCCCATTCTAGAAATATACCACATTTTTTTAAATTTGTTTGTTTTTTGTTTTGTTATCCTCACCTGAGGATATTTTTTCCATTGTTTTTTAGAGAGTGGAATGGAGTGAAGAGGGATGGAGGGAATAAGGAGAGAGTGAAGGAGGGAGGGAAGGAGAGAGAGAGAGAGAGAGAGAGAGAGAGAGAGAGAGAGAGAGAGAGAGAGAAAAATAAATGAGACACATCAATTGTTGCCTCCTGCATGTATCCTGACTGGGGCCAGGGATCAAGCCTGCAACCCAGGTATGTTCCCTTGACCAGGAATCTAACCCATGACCGTTTGGTGCACAGGTCAACACTTCAACCACTGAGCACACTCGCTAGGGCACCTTTTAGTTTTTTAACAGTATCTTTTGAAGAATAAAGCTTTTTAAATTTTGATCTCCATCCAATGTATTGATATTTTTCTTTTATACTTTAACTAGAGGCCTGGCCCCGATCGTGCACCAGTGGGGTCCCTCGGCCTGGCCTGTGGGATTGGGCCGAAACTGACTCTCCGACATCCCCCGAGGGGTCCCGGATTGCGAGAGGGAGCAGGCCAGGCCAAGGGACCTCACCAGTGCAAGATCGGGTCCAGGGAGGGACACAGGAGGTTGGCCAGCCAGAGAGAGACCACAGGAGGGCTCCAGGGCATGTCTGGCCCGTCTTGCTCAGTGCCGATCAGCCGGACCCCAGCAGCAAGCTAACCTACCAGCCGGAGCATCTGCCCCCTGATGGTCAGTGCTTGTCATAGCTACTGGTCGACCAGTTGACTGTCTGCCCCCTGGTGGTCAGTGCACGTCATAACAAGCAGTTGAGCAGCCTTAGAATATTACGCTTTGATTGGTTGAATGGCCAACTGGACGACCGGACACTTAGCATATTAGGCTTTTATTATATAGGATGGGGTTTTTGTCCTATTTAAGAAATCTTTGTCAAACCCAAGGTCACTAAGATTTTCCCCTAAGCTTTCTTTTAGAAGTCACATAATGTTAAGCTTTATCCTTAGGTCTATGATTCATTTTGACTTGAGACCTTTGTCAAAATCAATTGTCCATAAGTCAATTTCTAGATTCTATTCCATTGATCTACATGTCTATCTTTGATACACTGGCTTTATAGTAAGTGCTGAAATCAGATAGTATAAGTTCTCTGAAGTTGTTATTCTTTTTCAAAATTATTTTGGGAAAACTAGCTCCTTTGCATTTCCACATAAAGTTTAAAAACAGACTGTCAATTTCTACAAAAAGTCTGCTGAGAGTTTGATTGGGATTGCATAGAATTTATAGAATTTGAGGATAATTTACATCTTAACAATATTGGGTCTTTTGATCCATGAACATGGTACACCTCTCCATTTATCTAAGTCTTTTATTTCTCTCAGCAGTGTTTTCATTTTCAGTGTACAGGTGTTGCACGTTTGTCAAATATATCCCTAATTATTTCAAATTTTTATGATATTGGAAATGTGTTTTTTAAATTCCATTTCCAACTGTTTGGACATGCTTATTTGTTCTTGTACCGTTTTGGTAGAGTCCTTGTAGATGATCATGTAATCTGCAAATAGGCACAATTTTTATTAATCTTATCCACTCTGTATGCCTTTTTTTTTTAACTTTGTCTTGCCTTATTGCATTTGCCAAAATGTCCAGTAAAATATTGGGTAGAGTAGGAAAAAGGTTTTTTTTTATATGTTCTTTATCAGCTTGAAGAAGTTTCTATCTATTCCTAGTTTGCTGAAAGTTTTTATCATGAATGATGCTGGGGTTGTTTTCAAAAGTTTTTTCAGAATCCTATTGAGATTATCATATGGTTTGTTTGTTTTTACTCTGTTGTATGGCAAATGACTTGATTTTTTTCAATTTACTTTATTAAGGCATAACTGACATAATAAGAGTTACCCATTTTAGTGTATAGTTCTGCAAGGTTTTATAACACATACAATCATATAGCCACCACCACAATCAACCCATAGAATAGTAACTATTTTGTTGGTTCTTTGTGATTTTCTTTGTAGACAATCATACCACCTGTAAATCTGGTCTTATTTCTTCCTTTCTAATATGTGTGTCTTTTATATCATTTTCTTGTCTTACTGCATTGGCTAATTGGTTATTTATTTCTTCTTGAGTTATTTGGTAATTTGTGTGTTTCAGGGATTTTGTCAGTTCCATTTAAGTTGTTAAATTTATTGGTGTGAAGTTATTCATAATATTTCCTTTCTATCCTTAAACATAGATTATCCCCCTAATTTCCCCTCTATCCCTTTATAGTCAACTCCTACCACATCACTGGCCCTTGGCAAACATGGATTTGTATTCGGTCATTATTGTTTTCCCTTTGCATCAGTGTCATATAAATAGAAACACAATATGGCTTTCTTCACTTAGCATAATGCATTTGTAATTCATCCATGTTGTTACTTGCATCAGTTGTCTGGGCCCTTTTTTTTACTTAGTGGCATTCTATTGAATGGATGTCCCACAGTTTATTTACCTTTTAAAGGATGTCTTGGGTTTTCTTCTAGTTTTTGGTGATTATGAATAAAACTGCTATTAAAACATTCACATGCAGTTTTCTGTATAAACATAGATAATCAATTCATTTGGGTAAATATACTTAGGAGTGGGATTGCCGGGTCACATGGTAAGTGTATGTTTCACTGTATAAGGAACTGCCAAATTGTTTATCTAGTTTTTCATTGCTGGTAAATAGACATACAATTAATTTTTATATTAACTATTTTTTAAATTTTTTATTGATTAAGTTATTACATATGTGTATATTAACTTTTGTCTTCTGACTTTATTAGTCTAGTAACTATTTTGTTGGTTCTTTGTGATTTTCTTTGTAGACAATCATACCACCTGTAAATCTGGTCTTATTTCTTCCTTTCTAATATGTGTGTCTTTTATATCATTTTCTTGTCTTACTGCATTGGCTAAGACCTTCAGGATGATGTTGAATAGTAGAAACCCATTCAGTCTTTCACCATTAAGTATGATATTAGTTGTAGGTTTTTCATAGATGCCCTTTATCAGATTGAGGAAGTTCTTATCTAATCTTAATTTGCTGTTAGTTTTTATTCTGAGCGGATGTAAATTTCATCAAATATTTTTTGTCTCTAGTTAGTTGACTTGGTAAATTACTTTTTAAAAATTTTTATTAAAATTATTGGGGTGACATTGGTTAATAGGTTTTTAAGTATAGATTTATATAAAACAAGATCTATATATTGCACTGTATGCCCACTTTGATGTTTAAATATGGAACCAGCCTTAAATGCTTTGGATAAACTCCACTTAGTTGTGCTATATGATCCTTTTCATGTATTGCAATACGTAAAATTAAAATTTTGCTAAAATAAAAATTTTGTGTAAAATATTTACATCTGTTATTCATGAGGGATATTGGTCTGCTCTTTTCTTTTAATATCTGATTTTGGTATCAAGATAATGCTGGCCTCTTAGAATGAAATGGGAAGTATTCCTTCCTCTTCAGTTATCTGGAAGAATTTGTATAGAATTAACTTTGTTTCTTCCTTAAAAGTTTGGTTCATTTCTCAAGTGAAGCCATCTGGGCCTGAAGGGTTTTTTGTTAGTTTTTGTAGAGAGGGGTATTAACTAACATTCAATTTTTAAAATAGGTATAGGGCTGTTTAGGTTATTTATTTCTTCTTGAGTTATTTGGTAATTTGTGTGTTTCAGGGATTTTGTCAGTTCCATTTAAGTTGTTAAATTTATTGGTGTGAAGTTATTCATAATATTTCCTTTCTATCCTTCTAATGTCTGTAAAAGCTATACTAATATCATCCATCTCATTCATGTTATTGATATTTTGTGTCTTGTTTTTCCTGATCAGTTTGGCTAGAGGTTTGTCAAAGAACCAGTTCATTCTTACAAATGTAAAATTGTATTTATGTTATGTATATTTTACCACAATAAAAAATATACCCCCCAAACTCCAGTTCATTAATTTCCAGTCTGATCTTTATTATTTCCTTATTTCCTCTTTGGATTTCATTGGCTCATATATTTTTAATTTCTTTTTTTTAATTTTAATTTATATTTTTTAAAATTACAGTTGACATTCAAAATTATATTAGTTTTAGGTGTACAGCAGAGTGGTTAGACATTTATATAACTTACAAAGTGATCCCCCTGGTAAGTCCAGTACACACATGGCACCATACATAGTTATTACAATATTATTGACTATATTACCTGTGCTGTCCTTTACATCCCCGAGACTATTCTATAATTACAAATCTGTACTTCTCTATCCCTTCACCTTTTATCCAGTCCCCCACCACCACAGCTGGCAACCTGACATCATTGACTTGAATTCTTTCTTCTTTCCTAATATAAACATTTAGTGCTATAAATTTTCCTTTAAGTAATCTTTTTTAAAAAAATTTATCTTTATTGTTAAAAGTTTTTACAGATGTCCCCTTTCTCCTCCCTCCCATTGACCCTTTCTTACCCCTCCTAGCCCCTCCCCAAGCCTTCACCACACTATTATTGTCTGTGTCCATGGGTTATGCATATAAGTTATTTGGTTAATCTCTTCCTGCCCCCTCCCCACTTCCCTCTAAGAATTCTCAGTCTGTTGCATGCTTCCATGTCTTTGGCTCTATTTTGTTTGACAGTTTATTTTGTTCATTAGATTTCACATATAACAGATCATGTGATTTTTGTCTTTTTCTGACTGGCTTATTTCGCTTAGCATAATACTCTCCAGGACCCTCCATGTTGTCTCGAAGGGTAAGATTTCCCTCTTTTTTACAGCTGCATAGTATTCCATTGTTTAAGTGTACCACAGCTTTTTATCCACTCATCTACTGATGGGCACTTGGGCTGTTTCCAGATCTTGGCTATTGTAAATAATGCTGCTATGAACATAGGGGTGCAAGTACTCTTAACGACATCCCACAATTTTTTATAGTTATGTTTTCATGTTCATTCAATTCAAAATACATTCTAATTGCCCTGTTGATTCCTTATTTGACACATAGGTTATTTAGAGGTGTGTTATTTAGTTTCCAAATATTGGGGAATTTTTCCCAATATCTTTCTGTTGTGATTTCTAATTTAATTCCATTGTGATTAGAGAACATACTTTGTATGACTTGAATCCTTTGAATTTACTGAGACTTAACTAATGCCTAGAATATGGCTAGTCTTCGCTAATGTTCTGGATGTACTTGAAAAGAATGTGTACAGTGCTGTTATTGGATAGTACTCTGTAAATGTCAGTCATGTCTATGTGATTGATTGTGCTATTTATTTTACTGTGTTCTCACTGGTTTTTTGCCTACTTGCTCTATCAGTTATTGAGAGATTGGTATTGAGATCATCAACTAAAATTTTGTTTTTCTTCTTTTTCTCCTTGTAGTTCTATCTGGTTTGCTTCATGTATTTTGAAGCTGTTATTAGAGGCACAAATACTTAGGATTAATTGATCCCTTCATTATTATAAAATAATATTTTCTATTCCTGGTAATATTTGCTCTGAAATCTAATTTTTGTTCTAATAACACAAAAACCTTTCTTTCAACTTATGTTAGCATGGTATATTTTGTAATCCTTTTAATTTTAACCTATTTGTGCCTTCGTTGTTGTTTTTTATTAAAAAAATTTTAATGTTGACATAATTACAGGTGTCCTGCTTTCCCCCATCCCCTTTGCCCACCTCGATCCACCCCAGCCTCCTTCTCTTTTGGCCTTTACCAAACTATTGTCTGTACCCATGGGGTATTGCATATATGTTCTTTAGCTAATCCCTTCAACTTCTTTATCTAGTCAACCCACTCCCCTCCCCTTGGGTACCGGCCAGTCTGTTTCATGTATCCACACTCTGGTTCCATTTTGTTCATCAGTTTATTTTGTTCATTAGATTCCACATATTAGTGAGATCATATGGTATTTGTCTTTCTCTGACTGGCTTATTTCGCTTAGCATGAATAATACTCCCCAGGTCCATCCATGCTGTCACAAAGGGTAAAAGTTGTGCCTTCACTTTTAAAGTGTGATTTGTGTAGGCAGCATGTAGTTGGGTCTGGCTTTTTAAATCCAGTCTTACAATTGGTAGATATGAATATTTCATCTTGCTATTTGTTTTCTATTTTTCCCATCTGTTCTTCATTCACTTTTTCCTTGTTTTCTGGCTTCTTTTTGGATCAATTGAGTATTTTTATAATTCCATATTATCTCCTTTTGTTTCACATACTTCGGTGTTTTATTAGAGGATTAAATTCTCTTGAATAATTGACTCCTTTACCATTATGAAATCACCTTTTTTAATCCTTGGTAATATTCTTTGATGTGAATTCCACATTACCTGATATTAATATATCCACTCCAGCTTTCTTTTGATTACTCTTATTGTGGTATATCTTCTGATGTGAAAGTGTTCTCAGGGATGGTCCTTTTTTTAAAACTGAATTTAGTTCATTTTGTTTGCTTGATATATTTCATTCATCTTTAAAGATTAAGAATGGATATCTATTTACTAAATAGAACAGGCAGTCAAAATATACTTTAATTCTATATCATGACTAGATAAGGACAAAGGTTAAGGAGAAAATGGAGAAGATAAGACAGAGTACAGAGAAATGTAGAATATCTGAAGATTTTCTGCAGAAAGTCTCTTTATTGTGACCTTTTAGGATATTCCTGTAAAGGCTCTTGGAGACCTATTGGAACTTTTGGTGAGTGTAGGTACAAATGGAAATCTTACTTCTAAAGGGTGTCCCAAAATTCACGCAAGATTTGAATTTTATGCCATTTGTGCTGTAAAGTGTTGCCAACAAAAAAAAAAGATAGCATGACCGCTGACAGTTCAGGGTTATTAAAAATGGAGCGCTACACGAAAGAACAACGTGTTTTCATTGTTAAGCAATATTTTAAAAATAATGAAGGTTTGGCAGCTACAGTTCGCAATTTTCGTGCAAAATATGGTCGGAATAGTGATTTAACTTCATCAACTGTAAAGACATTAATTAAAAAATTTAGGGAGACTGGATCAATTAGTGATCTTAAACACTCTGGCCGTCCTTCAACAAGTCGTTCAACACAGAACATCGAAGCAGTTCGTGAGAGTGTTGCTGAGAATCCAGGGACATCAATTCGGCACCGTGGTCAAGAATTGGACATTTCGAGAAGCTCTCTACAGCGTATTCTCACGAAAGATTTGCATCTTCATGCTTACAAAGTTCAATTGACTCAAGAACTGAAGCCTACTGACCACGCACAGCGAATAGAGTTCGTTGAATGGATTATGGAACAACAAGTGGATGCTGATTTTTCGAACAAAATCATCTTCAGCGATGAGACTCATTTTCATCTTGATGACTTGGTTAATCGACAAAATTGTTGCATTTGGGGTTCAGAAAATCCACGAGTGATTGTTGAGAAACAAATGCATCCACAACGTGTCACTGTTTGGTGTGGATTTTGGGCTGGAAGCATCATCGGACCATTCTTCTTCAAAAATGCGGCTGCTCAGGCAATAACAGTTAATGGTGCTCGCTATCGCAACATGATAATCCATTTACCCAATATGCTATTCCATACATAGTGTTTTCTATCAAAATTACTTCTTGTGTGAATTTTGGGACACCCTTAGTTACTTGAGCTCTGGTCTGAGGAAAATTAAGTCTGGAACTGAATCTAGCCCATGGGCCAGAGAAACTGCATCCTTAACCCAACATCACTTGATTACTCTTCTAGAGTTGGCTTGGAAATGAAATTGAGGTTATGGTCAGTACTGAGGAAGCCAAACGCCATCTGAATGACCTTCTTGAAGATAGGAAGATCCTGGCTCAGGATCTGGCTCAACTCAAAGAACAAAAGGAATCTGGGGAGAATCTACCTTCTAAATTCCGGGTAAGTGCCCTTATGGAAATATTTGACCAATTATCAGACTCTGTACTTCCCAGACACACTCAATGCTTTGGAGGATTACTTTCCTTTGAGTACTTTACCCTCATTCCCACTATTCTTCTTTACAGAGGCGCACATTCTCAGTTGCTGAACTTCATGGTCAAGTTTCTGAGTCAGAGGATTCCATTACAAAGCAGATTGAAAGCCTAGAGACTGAAATAGAACTCAGGTAATGGGACTGTCTGTAAGGCATTATAAAAATGTATGCCTGGAATCAAAATAGAACATGCTAGTCCAGTGATTCAAAAGGTTTATGATGGTTGAGAAACAAGAGAAAGTAGCAATTTTTTTAAAAAATATACACATCACTAGATAAGTTAGATACATTTTCTCATTCAGTCCTTCCCTATGAGGTATATAACTTATGAGGTATGTATGATTCTTCTTACTTTAGAGATCTGAAGTTCACAGATCTTAATGTATTTGCTATAGATTATATAGAGTTGGGATTTGGAACTTGGGCTATCTAACTCCAAAGCCCATGCTCTTTAAGCTGCACCACAATTTTTGATGCAGTAATATCTCTGAAATGTGGAACTGACTAAAAACAAAACTTTAGAGGAACCCAAGAAATGATCTCAGAAGAGCAACAACAGCATGATGTGGCTCAGTGGTTGAGCATCGACCTATGAACCAGGAGGTCATGATTCAATTCCCAGTCAGGGCACATGCCCGGGTTGCGGCTCGATCCCTAGTGGGGGGTGTGCAGGAGTCAGCTGATCAGTGATGTTTCTATCTCATCATTGATGTTTCTATCTCATCATTGATGTTTTTATCTCTGTCTCCCTCTCCCTTCCTGTCTCTGAAATCAATACAAATATTTTTTTAATTAGAAAAGCAACAAGGAGGTGAACTTTAGAGATCAACAGCAAAGTAGATAGAATAGAGCATACAGGTAAAGTGATTATGAGCATTAAATGAGATTAGTAAGTAAAGTACATAACAGTACAGTAGTTGACATAGTAGAAGTGCTCAGTGAATGTTCTCTTTTTTTTTAATATATTTTTAGAAGGATCAGAACTTAGACATTATAAATTTCTTAAGATAATAGAATTTTATTGCCCAGAAGAGCTTGGAGGTCATTTAATTTGTTTTTAGCAATACACACTAGTGTTCATCTTTGGATACATCTATAAGTCACTCAGCATTTGAGTTTCTGCTTTGTGCCGCACTAGGTGCAGTTGGTATATATAGAAAAAATAGATGGCATCACCCTTACTCTCAAGTGGAAATAGTATAATGTGAAAGAATAATTTGTTAAAATTTCAGGAATATTGTAAGCCATTGATAGCTTACAATTGGTTATGGTGAGAGGATTTACACAACAGAAACTAGCAAAAGCTACAAATCAGATCTGGTTTATTTTTTGGTTTTTTTGTGTGTTTTTTTAAATTTTATTTTCTTGTTTAAAGTATTACAAATAGTAGTACATATGT